GAGGGCACACTATGAGCTACGCAACTATCGCAAAGCCATTGATTATCTCGATATACAACTCGAAATCGCCCATCAACTTGGTGAACATGAGTGCCCTTCGTTTCTTAATCCTCCCTTTATCCACAATAACATATCATTATGTGATATCGTAAATTTTTTGAAGTCAGAACATGAATTCATTGTAGTTGTGCAGTTCAATCTTGAAATTCTTGTCATTCGAAAATTCCTCATTGAAATCAAAGGTTTCAAGCAATCAAAACTGTTGCCATTCAAATTTCTATTAACACTCTCAGTGTTTACTGTATACTGATCAAATTGTGGACAACTTCTGACAGTGCAAAAGTTGATATCTGAATCGAAGTTTGATTCGTACAATTCCACTGTTACCAGCTGAAAACGTACNGTACTGTATTGTATTCAGAAGATGTGCCTAATCAACTGCTGATTCACGAAAACATTGCGAAAATTGCTTTCATGGAGGACGAACTTCCTCTTGCCATTCTGCACATCAGACACGCAATTGAACTGAAACATAAGGTTAATATTTTATCCGTGCAATTTAATAACTTCAAATTTATGTTCATATAGAAATGGTCACCGTCATATAGTGAAAGAAACAAACAGATGTTAAATTGCTGCCATAATGGTATCAGTAATAATTGTATAATAGCAATTTATTAATGATACCCTGTCCTATCCAGTTATCAAGATGAACTCTTGTAAATTTTTCACATTCTTCAAATGATCTGTTTTGTCTGGAGTTCGCAACAAATAAGAGCCAAGCAATCGCAGTCATACATTAGAAATACGAAATGATGATGCATTTTGAAAATCTCGCAAAAAATTATTTTAACAGCAAAGTAGTCGTCTTATTCATCGGATTACCTCATTACGTGTCATTAGTGTGCTAATTTTATGAATCAATTATCTGCTAAATTACATTTGCTATTGGAATGTATCAATGTATCGTGATGATATAATTGCCATAATCGCATATTAATATAATTGCTGGTGCAATATTACAGCAAAATGAACCAGCAGACAGTCTCTACGAGACACTCGGTGGTCTTTTCGCTCAAATGGGTGAAGTGGACGCGGCCACAATCGCATTTTCAAAGGTCAATTCGATCAGTGTGAATTTTTTGATGAATCGTGCGAAAATTGCAATCGCTAAGGTAGTGTATGTGCGTTTAATTACTATGAAGTTATGCGGTATATCGCACGTAATTGCTTCACGAATTTTGTTGTGATCTCTTCATTTTGATCATTCCACATAAAGTGTAGAAATAGAATTACATAAAAACATGTCATTATTTATTGCTTTAGAGCGTATTAAATCATTGAATTTTTGAAATTTTAAATTATTGATGATGCAAAAATGAGCAATCGAAAGATTCTGTAAATAAATCCTTTCACCGATAGCAATTTTTCTAGAACCAACTAGCCGAAGCAATAGGCTATTGTGATCAAATGGAGCGGATGAGCGCCACTCCAGACGAACGAATTACAGTGACATTGATTCGATGCAAATGCCTTCTGAGACAATCGGAGCCAAACAAAGCTCTACGAATCCTTAAGTCAACAACTGCGAGAATTTCCACTGAAGAACCATCGCCATTAGTTGTACGTTTCAATTTATCATCATCTGAGCGGAATTTTTTGGCCAAAATTTCATTTCAATTTGATCAATTCAGCTATATGATCTAACTGTCGAACATATCAAGTAACTGCATCGTTTCAATCAAATGATATCCATTCTCGCATTTAAGGTAGGCCTACTATTTGGCATACTAAGCGAATGCAATCTGGCTATTGGTCAGTATCGTAACTCCCGAAAATGGGCCAAAAAACAACTGAAGATCGCAATCGGATGTTCGTCACGTAGTCTTGAAGCCGATGCTCTCAGGTAACCATTAAAAAACATATTTTCTAGAGTCACTGGTTCGAGGAGAACAAAATCACAGAAGATTTTTTAAGTCTCAGTTATCTTTTGTTCATAAAGAAAAACTTTCGACTGACACATGTCCAGTGATCATTTCAATACCATTCCGAAATTTTTTAAATTGAATTTTTTCGTTTAATAAAGACTTCTTTGAAGGAATATGGCGAGTGTGTATGAGGCAATAGAGGATCCTCGGAATGCACTAACTTTGTGGAGCAAATATGATGAGTTGATTCAGAACGATAACATCGGTAGGTCACTTGCTTGCATTTCATATCAGATTCTTCATACGGATTGGCGTTGATTGAGCAAAGAAACAGTCCAAAAAACTTCTGAAAATAACTCAGTCATAAGCACGCAGGTGTCCAGCTATGATTACCAACTTTCAAATGAAGCTTGAAATCATTAATGAGGCTGTATTCCCTCACCAATCCAAACAAAATCATTGCCATTCGGATTTTTGATTGTATCCTAACCCATCACGTTGTATCTAACAAACCTTGTCAATAATACTGTTTACACAGAAACGCGATTGAACAGTCTAAAATGTCTTGCAAAACTGAACGAGAGCTGCAACAATATGGATCAAGCAGAAGAAGTGCTTCAGAAGCGATTGAGATTAGCTGAAAGAATCTCTTCATCATCAATTGCCATTGATGCGCATTCGGATTTAATTCGATTCTATCGACAACATAAACGAGATCAGGTACTCACTTCAATGAGCTTTTTGGATGAATTCACTAAAAATCAGTCCTGCTTGTCTAACTCAACAAGCCGATATCCTATGTCTTTACATAAAATTCCACTCAAACCGATTACTGTGCAGGCGGTATGGGTTATTTCGGATGAATTGATCGTCATGATGGTTCTCTCTTTCCCTTCAAAAAATGCCATACGCTTAAGTCACGTATCATTTCCTTCATTGCAAAATATTATTAATTTTGAATTTTTTGTTGCCTGTAAAATTACCTAAAACAATCGGTGGTGGTGATAATTGTTGTTCTGAAGGAACTTCGACTGAAGCATTTCGAGGCAATGCGCAATTTGTACAATGAAAATGGCACGACAGCCAAAGAAGCGGTGATCCTTGAGGATAGTGCTGATTTCTCGTTTGATCGAGGCGATTTCAACGAAGCGATCGACCACTATGAACAATGCCTTATGCTTGTCCAAGAAGACGGCGACGCATCTCGTGAAGCAGAAGTTAGTGTCTTTAACATCCATTTAGTGGTCAAATTTCGAGAAGTTCAATGAATTCATTGAGTAGTCATCTGATTAAAATGTGTGTTTTTTGACAACTTTTTCATTCTGAACGCAACTCGTCAGTTGATTTCGTCAATGTCAACGTGAAGATTTCTTAATCTGAGTAATTATTACTGGAGTAATTATTACCGGAATAAGCAGAATCGATTTCATTGCAGATCTGCGCCAAACTGGGTGATAGTCACTGGGCATTGTTTCATGCAAACGAAGCAATTGCTTACTATGAACAATCTTTAACAGTTCATCAACAACTTGGCAATATTCGAGCAATGATGAAAATTTACTGGAGTATCGCGAAAATACATCTGTCTCGAGATGCATATCAAGAATGTCAGTCATGTCTCAGGTGTGTTTCGTATCATTCTTTCGTGCATGATCGAATACTCTTTGTCTGTAATCCTTCATAAATCGTCACTTGCAGATGCACAGTAACATTGGCTGGCTTCATAGGTGACGATCACACAAAATTGGATGCTCTTTTACAAATCGGTCGTATTCTTCTTAAGGAGCGATTATTCACAAAAGCAAAGAAAGTGATTCTAGCTGCACTCACTCTCGCTAAGTTAAAACAACGAAGACGTGAGATTGGTCTGCTTTATGGATATCTTGCTGAGTGCTATATTGGATTTGGAAATCAACGCAATAAACAAAAGGTTTGGCTCAGTGCTTAAACGAAAATTATTCGCCAGTTCGCATCTCAACAATTTTTATGTCTAATTATTTGCAGGCACTGTTAAAATTCTGTGAGCAATTACCGTATTTCGATTGTATTGACGATACCGAAGGTAAATGTGAAACGTTACGGCACTTGATCGAAGAAAAACGACTCAACGGTGACATTCTATGGACTCTGAGGTTGATGCACAATAGAATCGCAGTTGCATCTGAAGGATCAGTTGATTTACAAGTTTGTCCATTAGTTAAAGCATTTCATCAAATTTCTTAGTCGCGATCGAATTTAGCCATGTAGATGATCACTTGAATTCTCTTCTTATCACCAGTATGATCGTGAAAATCACATCTGTTCAATCAGGAAAAAAACAACATTCAATAA